CAAAATAGGCTGAGATGTGCAACCTTTTATACCCATGAAGTGGGCGTCGCAGTTGTCAAGTCCAAACCTGCACACAACAATAAAATTCAACCCTTTATTTTTCTTTCATCAGCTCAGCATCCCCTGACCAAGTTAAGTCATATGTGCAGGTAGAAATTGTTTATTGGTGCAAAAATAAGAGTGCCCACTAGGTATTTGTTTGACAGAGATTGGGTGGGGTAGAATTTGCTTGTCAGAAGGAATTCCCTTACCCTTGCATAGACAATGTGTTGCTTTACTAACATCACCCAAGTCTATTTCTCATTCATATTTAAAGTCCTTTACAACCTGGTCCCTTCCTAATGTTCATCTTCTTATACTTTACTCCCCTCTAAGTACTCCATGATCTAGTGACAATGGCCTCCTTGCTGTTACTTGCACATCACATTCCATCTACCACCTCCTTGTCTTTGCATTTATTGTCCCCTGCACCTGAAATACTTTGATCCCTAACATCTGCCTCTTATTTTCCCTTGGCTTCCTTTAACACTCAGCTCAAAGTCCACCTTCTGCAGGGAGCCCTTCCCATTTTTCCCCAACTGCTAGTTCCTTCCTTTCTCATACTGCCTTCCATCTACTCTATGTATATCTTGTATGTACCTTGGCATTTTTGCGTTGTCTTGCCAGTTAGAATGTGATCTCCTTGAGAGCAAGGATTATCTTTTTGCCGTCTTTTTATTTTCAGCACTTAAGACAATGCCTCATACATTTAAAGAACTAAATGCTTGATGAGGGGCTATTTTCTTTCTCTGGTGTCCCAGAGACCAGCATAGCTTATTGCATATAATAAGTAGGTATTTAATAAATATTTTTGAGTGAATAAATGCATAGTGCACAAAGATAATGAAGTGAGCTATTGAATGTTCTGAAGTAACTTGAGCTTGTGTCAGGATGAAATAATTAGTCAACTTCAAGTCAACAACCGTTTATTACATCTCTGCTATGTGTCAGATATTGTACTAAGCTCTGGGGATAAAAAGGAAAGTAAAACACTGTCCCTGCTATCAAGGAGTTTACAATTAAATCTAAACCTGAACTCTGTCTTCTTTCTACAACTAGTATGTCCTTCTCAACTTCCCAATTTCTGTTAATTGCACAGACAATCATTCTAATAACTTAGTTTCAAAACCTAAAAGTCATCTTTGATCATCCCTTTCATTTCTATATCCAAGCAATCTCCAAGTCTGTCAATTATACTTCCATAACATCCCTCAAATCTTTTCCTATCTCTTTACTCCCATAGCTCCCACAGTCTTGTTTCATGTACTCTGCAATCCAGCTGAGAACAGCTAGCTGATCCCTAAACTTGATACACCATTTCTTGTTTCCATACATTTTTAACCAGCAAGTTGCATTGCTTCCTACTAGCCGTGTAAAATTTACAATAAGAATCAGGTGCTGGGAAAACCTACCCTCAACCGTATACTCCATCTAGTACCAGGGAGAACTCTGGGGAAATATCCACTGAGTTCCATGATTCCCATATGATTGTAGAACTCTGTCCCCTAATACTGCTCATTTATGGGTGGCACACTCAGTCATTAATCTAAAGACTGTGCTCAGTGTGGATTTATCCAATCAGAAGAAGAACAAGGATGAACAACAACAACAACAACAACAACAACATCCAATCAGAACAGCTCTCAAGTTCCATCTTACCATAAACGTTTCTCTCTTCAATGGCAGTATTTCACTGAGCTCTAGTTAGGGAGTAGGGCACAATGGAGGTGGCTACATAGACAAGCACACTTGATGTATAGAGTTTTTACTTATAGACATAGAATCAAGTAAATAAGTATATCAATTTATTGTATCAAATAAAATAGAATAATGATTTCATGGCTACACTCAGTTTCTTCCAGATTCTGGCCTCCCATGATCTGGAAGTCTTACCAAAGACATAGTACTCATGCTTAGTCCTGCTAGATGATTTCCCAAAGCTGTTCCTATTGCAGCTTCCAAGAGATCACAGCCACATTAGTTGAGAGTTCAGGAACTCAGAGTAATTTGCCTTCACTTTATGGTTCAGAGAGAAGGTCCTCTGGATACATTCTTTCTCATTCTCCAGTGCTTTACTCTGACGATTTCTCCAGCCTCTTGTGCTTCATTGGTGCGTCTTCTGATGGTCTTGCCCAGAGGAATCAGTCTTATCATAGGAGGCTGGTAAGTTGAGCACATAAGACCTTCTATGTCCTGCTCGCCATCTTGGTTCCCTGGTTTTTCTTCCTTTGTGTTCAGGTTTTCCTGCTGGCCAGGAATGATATTTCCTTCTCTATTTATTCAGTTTTTCAAGTGAGTTTGCCCAATCTGCCTTCTTTTCCCCAGCCCAGTAATCACGGCAAGAAAAAACTCGTGGAGTTAAGCCATCTCTCACTACTAGAATCTACTTCTTCCTTTTCCTAGGCTGTCAAAGCCCTTCTCTTCCTTCAAAGTTCAGCTCATATACTGCCTCCTATGAAAATTTCCTTAATTCTTCCCATTGGAAATATTCTCTCCCATCCTCAATTTTGCCTCCATCATTCTTATCATGCATTAAACTTTATGAGTTCAAAGAAATTTAAGACTAAAGAAGAAGATGGACTTATAGAAAGAGAAGGGGATCACAGGTATATTGCTTTTGTGACTCAGCGTATCTTTGTGATATCAGGAAAAGGCTTAGAAAACCCTTAACGTATTGAATGAACACCTTGTGGAAAACTTATGGGAGGGACAGGGTTCACAGAATGGTCAGCCATAGATACATTTGAATCTGCATCCTTGGAAGGAATATCCACATCACTCAGATAATAGTCCATTTAAGTATTCAATACTTGAATGGGTCCATAGAGGACATAAGTATTTTTCAAAGGAAAATATAAAACTTTAGCCCCAAATATGCTATATATGTGTAGGGCATGCATACATGCATATGCACATACAAAATGTGCATGTATCTACAAATGCACATATACATACAAATACAGTACATCTGGGACTAACATTTTGCATTCTGCTTCTGAAGTTATTTGACTTGACAGAACTTACTTTTCCTTAATCTTTAGTAGTTTTTAAAATGTCCTTTCAGACTCATTTAACTTTAATAAAGATGACATCGTAGACATTTTGATGAAAATTTGTTCTGAATCCAATTATATGCGGTGAACAGAATCACTCATTACAACCATAAAGCAAATGTCAGTGGAAATCTCCTTTACTACTATTTTTGCATAATATAAATCAATTAGCTCTCTCTTTTTTTTTTTTTTGCAGTTTTGAGAGATGAAAAGAATTGTTTCTGACAACTTGACAACTTTAGGCTTGTATGTTTATTGCAATAGGCTGGTGGAATTTTAAGTGGAAGAAAGACTTGTGTTGTACTTAGAGAGGGGAGCAGTAAGTTTAGTGTGAGAATTCACAACTTCCTTCAAAAGTTTAGAAAATCTCTGGCTAATTAAAAAGAAGTTTTACTTAGAGCAAATGGTATCTTTTTTTTTTTTTGCAAGGCAATTGGGGTTAAGTGACTTACCCAGAGTCACACAGCTAGTAAGTGTTAGGTGTCTGAGACTGGATTTGAACTCAGGTCCTCCTGACTCCAAGGCTGGTGCTCTATCCACTGCACTACCTAGCTGCCCCACAAATGGTATCTTAATTAGAGAAAGTTGTTAATATGATATTGACAGAACAGTAGAAAGATCAGTGGACCTTGAGTTTCATTGAGGTGAAAAAATTTGCTTAAGGTCAGTAGTTAATGAGTGGCTCAGAAATCAGGATTCAAACCCAGGTCATCTAACTGCAAATTCATCAATCTTTTTTATCACTGCAGAATTTATCTTCGTGGTAACAAAAATTGGTCAGCCATTTTGAGGACAAAATGGCCACATATGTATTCTAATTTTAAAGGTGGTGAGTATTAGGCACTCAACTTATTACATTATTTATCTGATTTTCATTCTTCCTTTCCAGCTCTGCTGGGATCTATATAACAAAAATTTTAAGAACTAAATTGGGGAAGAAAAATTCTCCCATTCCCACATAAAGCCTAGACATAGATCTGACATTCTGGATTCCAAGGGGATTAATTGGTATAAAACAATTGGATATTTTAATAGTAACCATAGTGAATTGTAAAACTGCCTATTCTCAAGAATCTCAAAGAATTTTGGCAAAATTTATGACTATATATACCTGTATTAAGTAATAAAAAGGTAAAAGTTTCTTGTTTTATAGATGCAAGAAGGGCAAATGAATGACGTCATGTTTCCTCAATTATCATTGGTGGGTTTTGGAGGTCAAAACTCTAACATCTAGTTCCCAGGTCTCTGTGCAGATTTGGCCACATTTCTTGGAAGTCAACACTGAAGAAACTGCAGGTGTCATAATTTAAAGACAATTATAGAGAAGTCTACATTTTGGTGAAAAAGAATTGAGTTGGAGAATTGGGCTAAATATAATACTATGAAATTCATTAGGGATAAATGTAAAGCCTAACATAGGTTCAGAAAATCAACTTCACAAGAGTAGGATGTGAATAAATGTATCTGATGAATGGTCAATTAGAGGTAAACAAAGATGTTAACACTAGCTTCTATGTGGTCAGTGTTAGCTAATATCATGTTAATGTAAACTGAGGATCAGCATACTTCCACATGAAATTAGTTACCATAAAGAAAATGACATTGCTAATCTCTGAAACCTGAAAAAATGCACCATATAATTAGTTATCATACCATCTACAAAATGACCTTGTTCAAACCTTGTTTGTTACAGAATAGTACAAAGAATCCTCAGTGTACCTAATCTATTAATTTGTGATACCATTTACCTTTAAGCTTTGAAAAGATAGTTGTCTCTAAGTTGAATGTGAAAAGGTAAGAATATATACATTTTCAATTCACAAAACAAGATAATAATTAGTCACTGAATCATATGGTTTATTGACAAGAGTATAAGGAAAGTCATTATTTCACTTTGTGAGAGGCTAGGGTCCTTGATAATTTCTTAGATGCTCATTTCAAATATGGTTCCCTGCATTTTTAATCTCCTACGCATGTGCCATGAGTCAAATTCTTAAAAATATGCCATGGAAGGTGGGTAAGGGACAAGAAATAGAAGCCTAATTCAGAGGAGATTGAGAGATCTGGACCTCTGAAGTTCAGTGAGATCGTTAGAGAAATAGGCATGACTAGGAAACAGACTACAGAAAAAACATATGCACTTTGGGGGAAAAAAAACTAAAGAAATTTTTCTTCCATTTATGTTTGTATTTATAAGATTATCTATATCTTATAGATATATGCATCTATAAGATAAGGGTTTTTCATGATTAGAAGGTCCACAACTTTCAGTCAAGGAAGCAGCAAAGATGCTTTAAATTTCCTTGCACCAATTATACTAACAATTTATTTGCAATATTCTTGCAAATGTTCTGAGTGAAGAAGAATATTTAGAGGGTATTTTTTTTAACTCCCATAGAAGAATATGATCAATGAGTTTCTTATATCTTGTTACTGTAGAACATCCACCAGGCTTTGTGAAAGGGACTTTCCTAATAGAACGTTGTCAAGTTTGATCAAGTTTTTCCGACTTGTTGAACCCGCCTTCTTTTCGTAGCTGTTTATAACTTCTCTTCTATTTCTTTTACTTGAGATGACACGACCTTGCCATCTACTACTTCTTCCACAACTGTCTTAATCTTCCTGGTTTTCGTTATTTCTGGATGAGAGATAGAAATGGAACTTGATTTTTATTCATGCATGTGAATCTAGCCATTCACATTTCTCTGTCTCTGTCTCTCTAGGGTCTCTCTTTGTCTCTGTCTCTCTCTGTGTGTCCTGTCTCTCTGTGTCTCTCTGTGTCTCTGTATGTCTGTCTGTACATCTCTCTCTCTCTGTCTCTCTCTCTCTCTGTCTCTCTGTCTCTCTCTCCCTCTCTCTCTCTGTCTCTCTGTGTGTCCTTCTGTCTCTCTGTGTCTCTCTGTGTCTCTGTATGTCTGTCTGTACGTCTCTCTCTCTCTGTCTCTGTCTCTCTCTCCCTCTCTCTCTCTGTCTCTCTGCCTCTCTGTGTGTCCTTCTGTCTCTCTGTGTCTCTCTTGCTGTCCCTCTCTGTTTCTCTCTCTCTGTGTCTCTCTTGCTGTCCCTCTCTGTCTCTCTCTCTATGTCTCTCTCTTGCTGTCCCTCTCTGTCTCTCTCTCTGTCTCTCTCGCTGTCCCTCTCTCTTTCATTAGCGTTGAGGAATTCATTGACAACTCATCTGTAACTCACCATGCTAGGATCATAGATTTCTAGCTGGGAGGGAACTCAGAGGCCATTTATTCCAACTCCCTCATTTTACAGATGAGAAAACTGAAGAGTTTAACCCCCACTAAATAGGGAGGTTAATCCTGCATTTAAGGCAAGATTTTGAACTCAAGACTCTTAACACTACACCTAGTTCTTTCCACTGTGCCAACTGCCTGGGGCACTAAGGGGTTATGTGTCTTGCTCAGGATCACATAGTATTTGTCAAAAGTGGGACCTGAACCCAAATCTATCTAACTCCAAGGCTGGCTCCTCCATCCACTATATCATACTTGCTCTCGCCAGCTCCTATTATCAAACTTTAACTTAGCATTATTTTGTACTTATGTATTTCTTTAAAAGATTGGGCAGCTAGGTGGCACAGTGATAGAACTCTGGGCCTGGCGTCATGAAGACTCATCTTCCTGAATTAAAATCTCACCTTGGACACTTACTAGCTGTGTGACCCAGGGCAAGTCACTTAACCCTGTTTGCCTCAGTTTCCTCATCAGTCAAATGAGTTAGATAAGGAAATGGCAAACCACTCCAGTATCTTTGCCAAGAAAACCCCAAATGGGGTCATGCAGAGTAAGACATGACTGAAACAACTCAACAACAACCTCCTTTAAAAGAGCTTTTAATTTACCATTCCAATTCACCCAGTTAGTTTTACGTGATCTTAATTCATATAGTTATATGATCTTAATTATTTGCTACAAAGAATAGCATTTCACTAATCTTGGAAACCTAATTGAATGTACCACCCAATTAATTACCATCTCATCTACATAATGACTATGCTCAAACCTTCCATCTGTTTACTAATTAATACAAGGAATCCCAAATCTGTCTAATTTATTTACTTATATCTTAATGATGCTAAGCAATGCCTATTTACAAGTAAGCATTGAAAAGATAGTTGTATTTAAATTAAGTGCAATGTCTACATCTATCAAGAATTTTGACTATATGTATGCATATATATACACAGACATATACATACATATGTACACATATGCGCATATATACACAATATGTGTGTCTATAATTGGTATTTATACATATGTACAGACATATGTAGACATATAAATATATATAAATCTATATGTAAATATACACATATATAAGTATACTTGTATACATATATACATAATTATCATACAAATCACCAGATTAGAATTAGACATATATTTTAAGGATAGACAATTTCCTTGGTGTGGGTAATCATTTTGCTATTGCAGATTGCAATCCTCCACACCTTAGGAGACAGTCCTAGAGAGTTGCTGTTGCTGAGAAATCTGTCCCTTGACAGCCATTCAGGTGATGAGCCCTTCCACACTGTGTTTTTAGCCCCTCATGCATCACTGGGCTTTAGTCTAAAACTTTCCAGTTTGGTGAGATCTGACATAGCTTAAAATCCACTGGCCCAGCCTGTAAGAACCTACTATCACCTGCATATCCAGCATGAAAATTTGAAGGAAGAATCTTATAGATGAAGGCAGAAAATGCAGTGGACTACTGAATTTCATAGACCAACTCTTTCCTTATGTTTATAATAATAACTAGAATAAAATACATGTGCCAATCTGATCCTTTCCTTCCAAAATCACAGAAAACTCTAATGCATACTTTGCAATTTCCTCCTTTACCCACCTCTATTAAGGAAAGTTAAATTTTCCCCAGTGGGGCGTAGTGGAGATGTTCTTTATATTATTTTCAGGAATGTCAGGCTTTGATACAGAAGTCATAGAATCAGGCTGTTTTAGCATTTATTCCTGGCTCTTGGTAAGTCACATGAATAAAAGTTCAGCAGAACCATAACTAGAAATTCTGGTGCCTAGGGAAAATTCAGTTGTGGGAGTGGGTGTCACAGAGGATAGTCTTCTCTGTTTGGTTGCAATTGCACAGAGAGAGGAGATGGCCCATCTCATAGAGAGTTTGGCTACAGATCCCAATGAATTCTGACTCTATCCCTCAATTTTTGGGGGGAGGCAAGGTGAGAGATGCAGTAAGGAAAGAGTACAGGGGTAGAGAAAGGCTGACCTCTGCATAGGGGCTAGACCCGGGGTGATACAGTGTTGCATAGGTCCTGAAGACCAGAAGACCATAGTGGCTAAGAAGCCTGCCCCACCTCAGATCAGGCCAAAACCCCAACTACCCTCCTCTAGTTTTGGCTCCAGAATTCAGTGTTCCTGGACATGTGTGTAAAAAGCACAATGTAGAATAATTACCTTTTTCATCGATCGTGTTTAACTGGAAGTTCTCAGGTCTATTTGGAGGAAAGAAAAAGAAACAAAAACAAGTTTAGCATCATCCACGCAAATGGATCTTCCCACTATTCAATATTTAGTGTTTGACTGTCCACATATGATGTTCCCTTAGGCTAATTCTAATATTACAAACACATTTTGCTCTGCGCTACAGGACATGTTATATTGGGGCAAAATGATGACCTTTCTTTAAGATAGAGGTTCTGAACTTGGGATCCACGGGCTCATAATAGGTTTTGAAATAGATTTCAGGAGGTCTGTGAATTTGGATGAGTAACATAAATCACATTTTTTCTTCAATATAATTGGTTTCCTTCAACATAATCTATTGTATTTTATTTTGATGCACTTAAAAACATTATTATGAAGAGTTCCTAGACTTCATTAGACTGCCAAAGGGGGTCTGTGACACCCAAAAATGTTCGGAATCCCTGGTTTATGATTATGTTAACTTAGTAATATTTTCCAAGATTTTAAATTGTGTGTGTGTATGTGTGTGTGTGTGTGCAAGAGAGAGAGAAGAAGAAGAAGAAGAAGAAGAAGAAGAAGAAGAAGAAGAAGAAGAAGAAGAAGAAGAAGAAGAAGAAGAAGAAGAGGAGGAGGAGGAGGAGGGAATGGGAAGGGGGAAAGGGAGAAAAGGGGAAGGAGAGGGAAGGGGAGGGGGTAAAGGAGGGGAGAGGGCCAGAGAAGGGGCAGGGGAAAGGAAGAAGGGGGAGAGGGGAGGTGAGTGGAAAGGGGAGGAGGAAAGGGAAGGACAAGGTAGGAAAGGGAAAGGGGGAAAAGGGGAGAGGGAGGGAGAAGAAAAAAGGAGGAAGGGTGAGAGGGCCAGGGAAGAGAGAGAGGAAAGGGGAGAAGAAAAGGGGGAAGAGGAGAGGGGACGGGAGTGGGAGGGATCTGTGAAGGAGGCAGGTGAGGGAGAAATTAGCTTTAATGTCCTTTCAATAGTTCTTTTGCTTTTAGATACAGTAGTTTCCTTGAAAGTGGTTCGCATTCAATTTTATTCAAAGATATGCAGATTTCCTCAGAACTGTGCCTTAAGACACCTAGGTCACAAACTGTGCTGGTTCTGACAGCACTGTAAGTCAGCGGGAGTCCAGTGCTGCCTTCTCTTCCCTCCCATTTTCAGGCACGAGCAGTTCCAGACAGTAGCCTTTGCTGTAGCGGAGGCTGGCTGATTCCAGAGGTGATGCTCACCTGAAATCCTCTCCTTCCAGGAGGCGGCGATAAGTGGCAATTTCCATCTCCAGGCGGGTCTTGATGTCAAGGAGGGCGTTGTGTTCCCCGTTTTGTCGTTCTGTGTCGGCTCGGACTTGCATCAGCTGGGCCTCTATAGTGCTTATTAATGCCTGAATCTGAGCCAGCTGCGAACCGTAACGGGCTTTGGTCTCTTCTAGGGCGCGCTCTAAAGACTCTTTCTACATTCAATGGAGAAATAAAGGATTTAATCCGAGTAGCACACGTGGCATTTTAAGGTTGCCGAAGCACTTTCCGCACTATAACCCCGTAAAGTAGATCGTGTAAGCATCATTGCCTCCATTTTACAGATGAGCAAACTGAGGTCCAAAAAAAAGTTAATTCCCCTGGTCACACAATTAATAATTACAGTACTAGAACGCTAATCCAGATCTTCTGACTATTGCTAACACTTTCCTCTAAGCCATGGGATCCAATGTAGGGCTCTGTGGATAGATTTCAGAGGATTTGTGAACTCTGATGGGGGCTGGGGGTGGGGGTGGGGAAATACATCTTTATGTTCATTAACTTCTAACTGAGACTTAGAACTTCCTTCAATTATGAATGCAGGCAACAAAGCGCTATAGTAAGAGCAGTATCTGTGGTTTTGTGGCCAATAGAAATTACAACTATTTTCATAGCACATTATAGTTGTTGCAAATATCTCAAAATATCATTTATTCTCATCACTACTTTGAAATTACTGTAGTTACTAGACCTATTCCTAGATCACACATGATTACAATCTTCCTATCTACAGATGTTTGTGTGACCTAACTGGCAAAATATCAGGGTCTGTAGGCTTTACCAGACTTCTAAAAGGGTTCATAACATAAAAAAGGTTAAGAACTCATTTAAAAAGACTTGATTCATGGAATGAAGGCTTTTTAAAGTTTATTTTTTTTAAAAGTTTAATTAAAATTTATTAATTTTAATTATAAGTAATGTTATTAATTATCATTAATTATCAAAAATTTATTTAAAATAATAATTTAAAATAAATATTTAAAATAATAATTTAAAACAAATATTTTAAATAATAATAATTATTTAAAATAATAAAAACCTCTTTCAACTGGACAAAGATAAAGATACAGGGCACTGTGCTAATACAGATCATTAAAATAATCGTTACACACATTGTACTTATAAGCAATATTATATTATACTATAATTGTGTCTTGAGAGATAGGGTGGCATAGTGTCTAAAAGGCTTTTGAGTCAGGAAGACCTAAATTGAGTTCTGACTCTGACATATGGTCAGTGACTATAGGCAAGTTACTTAATCTCTCAGTGCCTCAGGTAACACTCTAAGACTATAAATTATAGATGAGGAGTCGACTATGATATGGGGCAGCTTCATCTTCGTGAGTTCAAATCCAGCCTCAGACATTTACTAGCTCTGTGACCCTGGGCAAGTCACTCAACCCTGTTTGCCTCAGTTTACTCATCTGTGAAAATGAGCTGGAAAAGGAAATGGCAAACCACTCTACTATCTTTGCCAAGAAGACTCAAAATGGGGTCATGAAGAGCAGGACATGATTAAAAAATAATTGAATGTCTATGATATACATAGTGGAGGAAATTCCCCTACTGGGAGTTTCCTGTACTAATGGAATTACCAATTTGAACTGTTCCTAATAGTATAGCTTATTATATGTCATATATTGTATATCATCACATTGGCATGCACACACACACACTCACACATGTGTGTATACAGATACATACATATACACCTATGTGTATGTATGCATGTGTATGTGTACACACACGTGTAAATATATATATATACATATATACACACATATATACATGTATATTTATGTATGTTAAAAAGTATGAGAGCCAGAATGGTGTAATGGAGAGAGTCAGAAAGTGGTGTAATGGAGAGAGTCTGCCTGGGAGTCAGAAAGACCTGGGTTCAAATCCTACTTCTTATACATATAAGCTGGGTGACTTACTGGTAGGCAAGTCCCTTAACTGCCAGGTAACTTTCTGTCTCTAAGTTACAGTTGAGTTGCCAGTCTGCGCTAGTGGAGGGAGTTTCTCACTAGGAGTTACTCACACCAATGACTTAATAAGTCTGGAAAAATAACTACAAAAAAGGTCACTAGTATATGCCAGATTATATTATGTTGCATGATATGATGTCATGTACATTACCATGCTGTACTGGGACTGGAGCTCTATCTCTAAATTCTGATAGGTACGTCTCAGTTCGGTCACTTGAGCTTCATTGGTCTTTAGCTCACTGGTGCTGACTTGTACCTCTGTTTGGAGACTGTTAATCTAAAAGTCAAAAAACACAAAGGAAAAAAGAAAGTCATTTAAGCTGTTCCCTCTTTTGGGGACCATCTGGAAATGTGGTCTTCCTTCTCACCCGTTTCTCAAACTGTTCTTTGGCCTCCTGAAGATTCTTCTGTGCCATCATTTCATATTTCTGCCTCATTTCATTCATGATGGTTCCAAGGTCATGGCCGGGAGCAGCGTCCACTTCCACATTGACAGTTTTACCCAGCTGTCCTCGCAGGTTAGCAACGTCCTAAGAGAAACAGCATTGCCATCAGTTCTGTTCTTAAGTTCATTCTTGTACCTCTAGCTAGCTTGAGGAAATACCAGTGGCCTAAAGACCTTATTGTATTGACCTTAGAACTAAAAATGAATGAAAATGACAGGAACAGAAGCATTGTCAACCCCAGCATCTCTTCTGTTGAGATAGATTTCTGTTGGAAGGGCTCACAGGGCACCTGGATTAGAAGATGTCTCTTTTTCCTCACCTCCTCGTGGGCTTTTTTGAGGAAAGCCAGTTCTTCAGTCAGACTTTCAATTTGTATCTCTAAGTCTGTCTTCTGCAGTGTGAGATCGTCAAAGACTTTATGCAGTCCATGGAGATCAGCCTCCACGGCCATTCTTATTCCATGTTCAGTTTCATACCTATAAGATAAGCAGAGCTGTAATGAGCAATTATGGGGGCTGGGGCAAGCAACTTGTCCTTTCCTAAGACAAATGGGAAGGTGAGAAGGGAAGAACATGGTGAGAGATGCCAAGGACAGACTTCAGACCCTAGGGGATAAGGCCCCAGCAGCAAACAAATGTAGGGACATTGGCCCACGGAGACCCGAGGAGACTGTGAGGTCATTGCTAGGGAAGGAGGAAGGAGCGCATAGATTAGAGAGGAGTAACTACAGAGGGAGGGTGCAGAGAGAGAGGAGACCATAGAGTAGTTGGCTATTATCTTTGTGATATGATTATAAAGTAATGAGGCTTTTTTTTTTTTCCTGGAACCTCCCCAGTATTTGTATGGCGCAGTGGATAGAGTACCAGGGCCTGGAGTCAGGAAGACCTGAGTTCAAATGTGACCTCAGACACTTAACTAGCTGTGTGACACTGTTCAAATCACTTAACCTCTGTTTGCCTCAGTTTCCTCATCTGTAAAATGGGAATAATGATACCACCTATTTCCCAGGGTTGTTGTGAGGATCAAATAAGATAATAAATGTAAAGCACTTAGCATAATGCTTGGCACATAGTAAGTGCTATATAAATGTTAGCTATTATTATTATCCTAGGATTTCAAGGTTAGAAGCTATGGGGCACAGTGGATAAAATTTTGGGCCTGGAATCAGGAAGACTTGAGTTCAAATCCAGCCTCAGATACTTACTAGCTATGTGACCCTGTGCATTTAACCTCTATTTACCTCAGTTTCCTCATCTGTAAAATGGAGATAATAATAGCACATATCTCCCAGTGTTGTTGTGGAGAATCAAGTGAGATAATTGCAAAGTACTTATCATAGTACCTGGCACATTATTATTATTATTGTTGTTGTTACTATTATGCTAATTTTCATCTCATCCAACCTGTTCCTGAAAAAGAATTCTCTCTAATAGTTGCATTTGCATCATCATTGCTTGAAGCCCTCCAGTGAGGGGAATCCTCAACTTCCCAAGGCCACCTATTCTGTGTTGGGCTAATGAGAATTATTATGGAAATTTTCCCTTACATTCAGTTAAATTTGCCACTTTGAAACTTTTACCCATTGTTTTTAGTGCTCTCCTCTGGGACCAAACAGAGTAAGTCTAATCTGTCCTCCATGTGAAGACCTTTCAAGTATGGCTTTGAGCTAACGGCAATCAGTTGTATTACTATGTCAATACGATGTGGTTCAATGATGTGATATGAATAAGGAAAGATGGTTTGGGTCAGTTTTGTAGTGAAACCTCACCCGTATAAATTGCTTGGGGGAAGTGAGATCTCAAATAACAAAGTCTCTGAATTATAGTCTTTTTTTGTGTTTTTGAAAAAAAAAAAAAGAAATTCACATAACTTTAGTCTATATTTTAAAGGAATGGCAAGTTGTAGATAATAAGTTTGCAGTTTCATGTGCAATCATCTTTTTTATTATGCTATATTATGGAAATGCTTATTTTACTCCATAAAATAAAAATAAAATAAAGTTTTAAAAAAAGGACAAAAGGAGAAATACAATTTAATTGAATTTGGAAGCCAAAAGAGGAGTTAGCAATATTGAGGCCTTCCAAAAGAAATCTATTCAAATGTTTCTTGAAATATACAGAAAATAATGGAATTAAGTTTAGAAGGAAGTACAGACAAGCAGGACAGTTTTGAAAGTAATGTGTGGAATTTATTATATACTTAAAAAAATCTAACAGCGTGAAATGTAGATCCATGGTTTCATTTGGAATTCTCTTTTTGTATTTTGCTATGTTTAGGAAAACGCTTGATTTGGGGGGTTTAGTTCAGAATTTTAAAACATTAAATAAAAAATAAATTAAAATGTAATATAAACAATATCATATATATATATAAATAACATAATAATATAAATAAAATAAAATAAAAGTAAAAAAGAGAAATAGTTTCACAATTTTCTTATAGTGAAATTTCTGCTCGTGAAGATTGTCAGAATTGATACCTCACGGTCTTTAAACATACTTTGTGAACAGATAAAAATGATTTGTTCTGTGCTTGTATGCAGGTGAACACATGTTAATTAGTGCATCTAAAGGCCTGGAAGATATTTTTTCTTAATCAGCTTGTTTATATTTATACCATTCTTAGGGATGGGGATAGGGAATGGACCTGTGATTTTGGCAGTATAAGGAACTCCCAAGTGAGAAAATTCCCTCGGCCTATGAAGCTCAACATTTTCTCTGCCACTGATAGTTTCAGAGAGTTGCCTAGAGCCCCCAGAGAGACGTTAAGTGACTGGCGGCATGTCAGACTGTCCATGTTAGAGCCAGGTCTTGACCTCCATGTCTTTCCAGTTTTGAGACCAGTTCTCTATCTACCATGTTCTGTTTTCTTACAATAATATTAACATAATAATAATTCCAAAATAATTCTGAGATAAACTTTGTCCCACTGTAACGCAAATTTTTAATTAAAGCCAAGTTTTGAATTAATAAATGCGGAGGGGAGGGAATAAACATTTCTATAGGGCTAGGCCAGGGGTGGGGAATCTGTGGCCTCAAGGCCACATGTGGCCCTCTAGGTCCTCAAGCACAGCCCTTTGACTGGATCCAAACTTTACAGAACAAATCCCCTTAAAAAAAGGATTTGTTCTGTAAAATTTAGACTCAGTCAAAAGGCCACATGTGGCCTCGAGGCCTCAGGTTCCCCTCCCCTGGGCTAGGCATTGGCCTAAGTCTAGCAGAAAGAGAAATTGGATCTGTGAGTTCAAGCCCTAGTTCCAGGGCTTGTTCCCTAGTTCCAACACTTAGTAGCTGTGCCTCTTGAAAAGTCATTAATTTCTCTGAGCTTCAGTTTCTTCATCTGAAAAATGAAGTATAATTACACTTGCATTACTTACCTCACAGGACTTCTATAAGGAGAGTGTTTTGTAAATCTGAATGTGCTCAGCTGCTGTAAGCTAGTTCTTAAATCTTTAAATCTGCCTCTTTTTTGGAACTCTTGTTACCTTGTTTGAGATTCAGTATTTTTTCCTCCGTTTTTTTGGGGGGCAACCAGGTAGTGCAGTGGATAGGGTGCCAAGCCTGGAGTGAGGAAAACTCATGTCTCTGAGTTCAAATCTGTCCTCAGATACTTACCAGCTATGAGATCTTGGGCAGGTCATTTAACCCTGTTTGCCTCAGTTTCCTCATCTGTCAAATGAACTGGAGAAGAAAATGGCAAACCACTCCAGTATCTTTGCCCAAATGGGGTCATGAGTCATACAGGACTAAACAGCAAGTTTTTCCTTCATTCCTCCTTCTTTTGTAGTTCAGATTTGATAATATTTTTAGGTCCATAGAAATCTTTCCTCATAATCCTATGAAGCAAGTATCATTTTTCTCTATTTTACTTGGGAGAAAAATGAGGCTCAGAGGTCGTGATTTGCTTGGGGTTACACAGATAGAGTTGGGTTTTGAATCCAGACTGGGGCCAAGGGGTACAAATTACAAGGAGGTAGCTTTCAATATAATATAAAAAGAACTTTCTAATGGCTAGAGCTGCCCAACAAGGAAATTGTTTGACTTCTGAGAGTGAATTCCCTGTCACTGAGAGTACAAACTGGATAACCCTTTGCCGAGAAAGCTATAAGAGAGATTTTTGCAATAGGTGAGAGATTAGACTAGACGAGGTCTAAGGTCACTTCTAACTAAGATTCAGGGATTGCTTCTCAGATAAATATTTGTATGAATTGTTGAGGAACTAGAAAGGCTCATTAAAACAGACTCTACCTTATTTTCCCTCAAACCCAAGGAGCTCAGTTGTTCATTGAAAATTATTTCTTGGGGCAGTTAGGTGGTGCAGCGGATAGAGGCCTGAGTTCAAGTCTAGCCTCAGACACTTATTAGCTGTGTGACCCTGGGCAAGTCACTTAACCCCAATTGCCTCTAAAACAAAATAATTCTTTAGAGAGGTTTCACAGTTGTGGTCAGACCTACTTCACTCTGAAATCCTCAGCGGCCAGTTTAGAGTTATCAAGCTGCAGGATACAACGGGCATTGGCCACCCGGGCAGCGTTAATCTGGAAGAAAGGTTGAGAGAGAAATAGAGAGAGAGAAATAGATGACTGATTAGAAGGTTCTCATAGTTAAATTTATTTTAAAATACAATTACTTCAAATTAGAGTCTGGTATTTGGGAGACAATAATCATGTCAGGTATTTAAAAAAAAAATAAGTGAATGGAAATTACAAATGGTCTGAACTATTGAATGGCAGAATGGCCTAGTGGATATAGAGTTAGTCTCAAAGCTAGAAAGACCTGGGTTCAAATCCTGCCTCTGATACTTATTGGCTATATGACCCTGGGCAAATCATTTATCTTTCAGTGCTTTAGGCAACTTTCTAAGACTTTTAAGTTGTAGAGAAGGAGTCAGTCTATCTTATGAGAAGGAATTTCCTTATCCTATTCCAATGAAATCATCTATTCAGTCCCTCTCCCCATCCTGGAATGTCAAACCTAGAGTTCTCATACTATTAACTCATTTCAATTACTTCAAGAGCTTCACTGGCTCCCATTTACCACTAGGATCAAACACAAACTCCTCTGTTTGGCACTTAAAACTCTTTACAACCCAGCCTCTTTTCAACTTTCTAGTCTTCCCATACTTTACTCCCCCCATGCATACTAGGATCAGCAATGATGGCCCCCTTGCACTTCCTCCAACATGCCGCCCCATTGGCTGTCTCTATGCATTCCTTCCCAATACCTCCACCTCCTAGTTTCTCTGTCTTCTTTCAAGACAGTTGAAATTGTGGCAGTGAGGTGGCGCAGTGGATAGAGCACTGGCCCTGGAGTCAGGAGGACCTGAGTTCAAATCTGGCCTCAGACATATAACACTCACTAGCTGTGTGACCCTGGGCAAGTCACTTAACCCCATTGCCTAGCCCCCCCAAAAAAAATACAAGACAGTTGAAATCCTGCATTCTGCAAGAAGCCTATCCCAGTATCTCTTGTTACTGTATGCATATCTTGCATATTGGTAGTTATTTACATGTTGTCTAATATTATAATGTAAGATACTTAAGGGCAAGGGCTGTCTTTCCCTTTCTATTCATCCCTCAGTACTTAGCACAGTACCTGTTGAATATTAGGTGCTTAATAAATACTTGCTAACTGACCTTGGTCCAAACCTATGATTTCATTGTCTACCCACATGTAGTATTAGAGACTCATCAGGGCTTGCCTGGGGGCCCTGAAAATCCCATGTACACAATGCCAACATGAATCAGAGACAAGGCTGGAACCCAAGGCTTCCTAATAGATAATGAGGCTGTTTCACCATCCATGACATCTCTATCCATAATAGCTGGAGATGTAGCATGGCAAAGACCTGACTTCAGGTCTTACCCAGAACACAAATTACCTATGTGACCACGGGCCTGTTTCTGTATCCCCTCTGCCTAACATAGTGCCTGGCATGTAGTAGGCACTCAATGAATGCTAGTTGGACAAATAAGTAACAACCTCTCAGTGATCCATGGCAACTCTAAGGCTATGTGTTATAGAGGAATGGCCGAACAGCTCTAGCAGGAGCTTTCACAAACTAATGAAGTCACTGGACTGGACTCCCTCCCCCCCCAAACCTGACATTTCTATAATGCTATACTATACTATATTCTATGCTGTGCTATGCTATTATATACAGTTTTAAGCTATTAGACTTGTCTAAGACCTTTGGGACACTCTCTCTATAGACACATATAGATGTATATGAATATGTGTAACTTCCTCTCCATCACTACTTGTCACCTATCTATCATCTATTTCTATTGGGCCCTGAAGGCTCAGAGCAAGTGTCACTATTCTCTTTTGGTCAGAAACCCTGAGGGTCTTCTCCTCCCAGATTTTTTTTTTTTTTTGGACTAAGTAAAAGAGGCCATTCTTTGTCTCCCTTCTCACCTAGCTTTAATCACTGAATGGGCGTTGCCTCAGTCAAACTGAGATGTAGGAAAAGCCTTAGCTTGAAAAGGCCAAGGTCTCCCATTGTATCTGGGGCCACCTCCAGTCGTGTTGGTTACTATGAGGTCTTATTGGCTTTGAGACCAAACTGCCACTCCAAAGTAAAATGAAGATCTCTGTTTTACAGAGGTTCAGAGAGCTCTCATGGTATGACAATCTTAAGGAGGGAAGTTAGAAGGGGTAGCTAGGTAGCTAGGTGGTGCAGTGGATAGAGCTCTGACCTTGGAGTCAGGAGGACCTGAGTTCAAATCTGACCTCAGACACATAATACTTACTAGCTGTGTGACCCTGGGCAAGTCACTTAACGCCAACCGCCTCACCAAAAAAACAAAGGAGAGACCTTAGAAAACACTTCTACTCTTCCTCCCCCTCCCCCATTTATAGATCTAGGTTTCATAGATGCAGGGTTTAAAAGTGCCTTAAATGTCACATAACCCAACCTCTTTATTTTGTAATTAAGGACAGTAAGGAGAAGATAAGTTAAAATCTCCCAGAGTCACATTGCTGGTGAATGTCCAAGCCAGGATTTGAACTCAAGTCTTCTGACTTCAAATTCAGTGCTTTTTGATTGTGACACCACCACCACCAGCAGCAGCAGTATCTACTATGCTCCTTACTAATTAGATATGTCTTAGAGAATAACCCTTTCAAATCTATGTCAATCTAGCTACATTAATGCTTTTTAAAAAAATCATTACAATTGGCATAATGCTTTACAGTTTATGAAGGAGTACCTTATGGGATCTCATTTAATCTCTCTTTTTTTTTGGTAAGGCAATTGGGGTTAAGTGACTTGCCCAAGGTCACACAGCTAGTACATGTCAAGTGTTTGGTCTGAGGCCGAATTTGAACTCAGGTCCTCCCGACTTTAGGGCCGGTGCTCTATCCACTGCGCCACCTATCTGCCCCTGATCTCATGTAATCTCCCAAAAGTTATATAAAAATCAGAATTAGTCTATCTACTTGGATCATCTACAAATTTCATTTAGAAAATTGTATGGAGAGAGGGCTCTGGGTAAGAGGGATGGTTTCCTAGGCTCTAATTGTTTTAATAAAGGTAGGTTTTCACAAGAAGCCTGGAGAGAATGACCTGATAGTGGGGACAAAAATTAGAATACCTTTTGCCTGCTTTGGGAGGAGTCCTGAGACACCACCATGACTCTCACAAGAGCTTTATATAAATGACTCAACTGGCTGATGTCAGATATATCTTTAGAGAAGTGGACTCACAGATAAGTAACCTTAACTTTAAGGGTCATTTTTTCCTAAACAGGAAACGATAGTGAAAAGGAACTTCCTGCTTTGTTGATAGTCAAAGGCAAAGGTTAGCTGCCAGGACTATAAGCTTTCTTTAAGACCAAAGTCTATATAGGGCTTGGAATTGGTAATAAAGAGAGCACCACCTTTCCTGTGTACTACAGCTTTTGTGGATGGGACTGGGAGGCATCATAGGTGGAAAGAATATTAGCGCAGGAGTCAGAAGATTGAGGTGAGAAGCCTGCTTGTGTGAACCCTGGGGAATTTCCCTTCACTGGGTGGCTGCTTTGTTATTTGAAAAATGAGGCTGGAAGAGAGGACTTTTGAGGGTCCGTCTAACGCTAGGGCTGTTATCTTATGATAGATTGGCAAGAAATAAGAATGGAGAGGATACAATATTAATTTACATTAATAACAGTTCATCTTTATCTAGCACTTTCCCCCAAAATGAGCTTGTAAAGTAGGTGGTACATCATTCTTGTTTTACTGATGAGGAAACTAGAGCTGAGAGAGCTTAAAAGATTTACTAATATTCACAAGGCCAGTAAGTGTCTGAGGCAGAATTTGAACCTGGGTCTCAGGCTCTATCCATTATGAGTCACTGCCTCCCAACTAGTATTGCTGAAAAAAAAAATAGTAATGGTGACTAGAAAAGGATAATAGGTTTAAAATAAATTCAGGCATTATTGAGTCTTCTTCCAAGCATGGCTAACCATTTTCCACCCTATTTCATTGCATTCTCACTACTCATATCTGGAGCAATATGTCGGTGTTCATGTATATAGAGATTCAATATATGTTGGTGTTCATCTGTATAGGTATTCAATATATATTGGTATTCTTGTATATAGGTATTCGATATATGTTGGTGTTCATCTATATTGAGATTCAATATATGTTATTATTCTTGTATATAGGTATTCAATATATGTTGCTGTTCATCTATACAGGTATTCAATATATGTTGTTCATCTATAAGGTTTCAGAGAGTGAAGGAAGCCTCTGAAATGATTGGGGGAAAGTGTTGTGAATAAGGCAATTAAAAGGCAGCTACTGCCACATTTCTCAAAATTTAGAGACAACTATCCTATTCATTTATGACTGAGAAGCTATACCCAGGTAAGAACTTACTCATAAAATAAGGAGATAATTATAGATCAAATTTAAATCATCATTATCACAGACAACACAGAAAAGAGCACGGAACAGTAGAAAGCATGCTGGTTCAGGAGTGAGAGGACTTGGGTTCCATTCCCACCTTTCATAGTAGCATCTGTGACCTTGGGCAACTGCCTCAGTTTCCTCATGTGTAAAATGAAGGTGTTGTATTAGATGGCCTCTGAGGTCCTGTCTAGGCCCAGATCTACGATTCCTGTGTGACCAACATTATTGCCCTCCATCTGTCTCTCTGAGAAATCCCATGGATCTGATTTGCCTTAAGAAGTCACCCAAGGGGCAGTCAGGAGGACCTGAGCTCCAATCCAGCCTCAGACACTTATTAGCTGTATGACCCTGGGCAAGTCACTTACCCCCAATTGCCTCCAAAGAAAAAGAAAAAGAAAAAGAAAAAGCCACCCAGAATCTCTTACCTGATTTCGGAGATCTTCAATTGTTTTGAAATAGGCACTGTAGTCCCGGCTTAAGGTGGGAGAATTCTTCTCATACCATTGCCTGATCTGGATTTCCAGCTGGGAGTTGGTCTGCTCCAGAGAACGCACCCTTTCCAAGTAGGTGGCTAAACGGTCATTTAGATTCTGCATTGTGATTTTTTCATTGCCAACAGAGAAGTCTGCATTGAGACCACCTCCATAGCTGGCCACATAGCTGGTGCTTGAAATCCGGGTACCCTGACCTCCAGCCCCACCATAGACACTGGGAGAATAGAAACTTTGCACAGATCCCTTCCTAAGTGCTGCCCCACTCATGCCCACACCAGCCTGGCCAGATGAGCTGTTGCTTCTATGGAAACTTCTGCGAGAGAAATCCATAGTTGGGGTTGAGGACAGAACACTTGGACCCTCTGTGTACTTACAGGTTGTGGAGTGAAATCTGCCTCCCAGGAGACGGGGACTTTTATAGACTGGATGGACTCCACCCCTGGTGACACCTAAACTTCCTGTTATCCTTATAATCCATTCCTTACAGGTATCCCGAATTTGGCCATGCAAGACAGCTCAGAGATGACCACAAGTGGTCTTCCCCCAGGGGGGGGGGGGGGGGGGTGGTGTAGGATTTTTTTTTTTAAATGATGGTAACAAACAGAAACCATTCAATGAATGTTGTGACCCTTGCACCTCTCTTGGCAGAGTTTTCACTCCTCTCTACAAATAAGGCATATTTACCATCCTCATGAATAGTTTATGATTTAAAAAGGCAGATCTTTAAATGGAGTGCTACATTGGTATGGACCATTATTAACATTACAAAAATGAGGTTTTGATCCCCATGTGTAAAGATAGGTAGAGGAAGTAGAAAGTTTACCCCACTTGCCTAGAAAAATAGGAAGTTGGTTTAAGCACTGCAAACACCTGCTCTCCCTTGCTCCCATAATAGTCCAGATTTCTCTCAGCTCAATTTAGAATTTTAAAAATGTAAAAAGATAATTCATATATAACATTTCATAAACTTATCACAAGTTTGACATAACATATTTCTGCTCCCACCCAGTATTTCATTCCAGTCAATCAACAAACATTTTAAATGCTTTCTAGAAACCAATCACTGTGCTAAGTGCTGGGGAAATAAAGGCAAAAAAACCCAAGCAGGTAACATCATTCACCCGGCCCCCTTAAAAAAAAACCCAACAAAACAAAACAACAAGGCAATCTCCAAAGAGAGCTCAGGTAAAACCCATCTCACTTGCCATTATCACTCATCTCCTTTCCCACGTAACCCAACAGGAAAGTCATTGACATTATAGTCTAATATACATTTAAAATTTTTGGATTGAACTTGTGATTTCATTGCTATGGGGAACTTACAGGAAAGAAATTGTTTCTATGAAAGCAAATCAATGCCTGAGCCACTTATCTTCTCAGAGAATTATTTAAGGCACTGAAAGATTAAGGGACTTGCTGAAGGTGACTCAATCAATATGTACCAGAGACAGGAATTGACTCAGGTCTTCCTGATTCTGAGACCAGGTTTCCATCCATGATGCCATGCTGCCTCAGTATATCTTTTGTTGCTCAGGTATTTTTTTAGTCATGTCTGACTTTTCATGACCCTATTTTGGGTTTTCTTGGCAAAGATACTAGAGTGGTTTGCTATTTCCTTCTCCAGCTTATTTTACAGATGAGGAAGCTGATGCAAACAGGGTAAATGACTTTCCCAGGGTCACACAGCTAGTAAATGTCTGATGCTAGATTTGAACTCAGAAAGATGAGGTTACCAGTATATCTTTACCACAAGAAATAGGTAAAAGAACAGTACTGAGACTCCTGCAGCAGTGGCTCATTGCTTGGGTAAAAGACCTGGCTATCTCCTCAGTTGCAGCTATGATGTTGACACTGTTAGTGACTTGAATTCAGGCATTTCTTCTTACCAAGAGAACCACCAGACTAGGATGGTCCGTACTCCTCGCAAAGTTCATAATGAGCACTATCTGAAAGGACTGTGGATGTTTATCCCAGAAAAGAGACATCTTATTTGGGGAGGAGTGTGCTATAACAGCTGTCTTCAGATTTTGAAGGGGTGGTCACATAAAAGGGATTGTATTTGTTTTTCTTATCCCCAAAGGGTAAAATTAGGGGTTATGGATGGAAATTGAAAGAAAGCAATTCAATCTTGATGTAAGGAAATATTTCTTAACATTTTGAGCTAAGCTACAGCGGACTAGGCTGCTTTAAGAGGTGCTGGGTCTGCTTTCACTTGATATCTTTAAGAAAAGGTGAAATGACTACTCATCACTTAGGTTGTATGAAGATTTTTATTCAGGTATGAATTAGACTAGAAGAGATCCCTTTCAACATTCAATACTGGTCTGTGAGGGATGAGTGTTCTGATTAGCGTGAGGAGAATCATTGGGCAACAATAACTTCCTCATCCTTGATTAGGCGATCATCTGGTCCTGTGTTCACCATAGCATGGCATCATGGCCCCATGTCCAAGTTGGAAAAGGTCCCCTCCCCAAACTCTACTGTCTTCACAAGAGAGTCAAATTGGTTGTTTAATTTAGCAGAAGACATATAATATCTCTGATGCACACTCACATGCCCCATAAACAACTGTATTTGGAAGGAGACTTCAGCAAAATCTCTCCATTGGTCCTGATCCCAAAGGGAAGAGCCTCTGATTGTCCAGTCTTATTTACTCTAGGACACAGACCCATACCCTCCAATTAGGAATCAGTGTGGACAAAAGATGAAGACCTTATCTGCCCAGTCCTCCAAGATTCTCTCACATGCTAGCCATGGGATCACACAGTTCAATCCACTAGGAGGATTTTCCAGGATCCCTATATCCCAGAGTGAACCTTACTTGATTAATGACTACTAAAGTCTAATTGTACATGTCCGTCTTGTATTGGGAAGAGTCATCTACGAAACAGGCAAAACAGCAAGTTTAGGAGCCTGGTCTTCATAGGTAGGGGCCCATTGGGTTAGTGGAGGAGGTAGAGCATTGGGGGTTGGACTGGAGGTCTCAACCTCTGGAGGAGTCATTAGTGAAGTATATTAAAATCTGATGGAGCTAAATGAGCACAGTCTTGAATGTACTATTTCCATTTAACAACAGAGGTCTTCTGTGTGTGCCCTAACCATCTTGTATGAGGGTCCATCTTGCATCACCTAACTCCAAATATGCAACTCTGGATAAAGAATAATAGTATAACTCTGAGTTGTTTACTCAGTAGCAACTGAAGTCCATTAACAAGCAAATAACTGATTTTCAAAAGTGATATAGTAGATGGATGCTTCAGAGAGCTTATAGCTCTTGAAACCTAATTTTTTTTGTTATTTTTTTAAATTTAGTCACTCCTAGGTGCTTGCCAAAGGCTCCACTTGGTCTGGTCTTTATGGATAGAGATATCCAAATAGGCTCCACTGGACCACACCCTCAACAATCTTTGTTCAAATGACTGAGTATGTTGTAATTTAATCTTTACATATAGCCTTCCAGGTTCCTTGGAAGTGCTCATTTACCCACTGACCTTTCTGGGGAGGCTACCATGAATGAGGGAGGTAGGATTATGATAAGTCAGAGATGGGGTTCTCAATTCTTATCCTCCCTTCTGCTCTCATTCCCTTCCCTTTTAGCCCTGATCTCAGCAGGATTTCACATGTTTCCTAATGAAAATTCTAGGAGATTCTTTTCTCATGTGATTTTTGTGCCTTATGAAGTTGGAATGGGAAGAAGCCAAATTCACTGCTATTTATTAGCAAACCATACCTTGAGAACTCTACTAATATTCTGTCCACTCCCTGACCACACATAAAGCTTTGGAGCTCCTAAATTTCCTACTGGTTGCTTAGACACCAACCCCTATAAATATTTACTGAATCTCCATTTCTGGGTAGATAGAACAGTGGTTATGATAGAGTTGCATTTTGACCTTCAGGGTAGACTTTGTTGTTCATGTTAATGATTAATGCCCAATATGGTAGGAAAAAACCATAGGCAGGCTAGATTAAAATCTGTCATTTTCTTTGTGCTGTTCATTGTTTGGCTTTGTAATAAAGTTGGACATGGGTGTGAGGGCTGTCTTCCCCTATGTTGTAAGTGGGATACTCTTTTATCATCCATTGAGAAGAAAGACACATGGAGATATGATATAAAATTTATTGAGGAAGTCATGCACTCACTCTCAGACCCACCCTAATGTGCTGTCTCTGGTTGCTTTTTGAGAATTCAAAATGGCACCATTCAGATTTATGATCAGTCATGGCTTCATGCCCACCTGGTGCTAGAATTACTTCATGGGAAAGGCACCAGGCTCTAATTTATACTTTACCTCACCTGCCAACCACAGAGCCTCTACAATGACCCTAATCCCCATTCTCCCTTTGTTTTCTCTGGCAAACCCAGCACTTTAGAGATCTATACCAATTCATAACTTCCAGGGATCCATACATGAATACATCCATAAATCACCAAATTGCCAGGGATTATCCTTGGATACAAATACATGAACCAACTTTCATTCTCTCAACATGGCAATCTCAGCACTCTCTAAATTCTTTCTCTGACTCACACTGTTAATTACTACAAGTGTGACTAATTCGTGGTCCATTTTCTATCCTACCTATTCCATATCCCCGACGGCTACTTTCCTAGTCATCAGATATCAATAAACAGAAGGAGAGGGATGAAGATTGCACCTGTGATTTCATTGATATGGAGAACTTCCTGGTGAGAAAACTCCCTCTACCAATGCAAATTACCATCTTCTCTGAAATGTAGAATCTTAGAGTGTTGTCTAGGAAGCTATGTGACTTATCAAGAATTAGACACACCTGTTAGTTCTAATTCTTACTTACAACATCACTAATGTGAAAATATGTTTAATAGGAATAGCCTATATCAGATTGTGTGCTATCTTGGGGAGGGAGGTGAGGAGGGAGGGGGAGAAAAATTTAAAACTCAAAAGCTTATGGAAGTGATTGTTGATAATTCAAAATAAATTAATTAAAAAAAGAATTAGACCACCTGTTCCAACAAATACCAGGACCAGGAGAATATCCTGGGAAGTCCTTTATAAAATAGTCTAGGAGAAAATCAAGAATTGCCAGTAACTTTGAATCCTCTTTGAGCTGACACAAAGCAACTTCCCTCTCATACTTCATCAGTGGAGTTGAATTTACCATCACTAGGAGTAGACCATCTTGTCCTGGATCTACTTAACGGTGTCTGCCATAGGGAAGGGACTGTGGGAGTGGATGGGCTGAGAGGGTCCTCATTCATTGTTTAGCTGAATGCTATGCTCATAGTCAGTGCTCGGTAAATAATATTTGAATGAATGAATGGTCACTTCTCTGTGGCGTGGTATAGTGGAAAATGTAATGGAGTCAGAGGACCTGGATTCAAATCA